AACCAATTCGATATAGAATCCCAAGCGACTACCTCGATAGAGTATTAGAAAAATCATCTTAGTAGAATGCTCAAGGCAAGTACCTAGGCCAACACTCAACCTAACAAAGACAACTAAACAGGAGGCCTTAGGGCTTACTCATAACCCACATGCTATGTCAACAACTCATGAATGCACTTCTAGAGCCCTCAATGAGAGATCTCATTGTACACATTCAAAAGGGATGAATGATAGAGGTAATCATCTTTGTCGTAGCAAATCGATATGTGATAGTATATATGATAGTATAGTCAATGGTGAGGAAGCAATACATGGCCCATAATCGGACTAAGTGGACATCAATCCAAAAGGGTAATTAGAAACATTCTGCATAATATTTTTTTTATTAACCCACTATAAAAAAAACTATCTTAGACAAGTTAATTGAGCTTAATTATATTTTACTAAATTTACTTTATTCTCGTTAAAATTTACTTGAACATCGATGGGACTAAAATAAAAAATCTATATGATGTTAGTTTTTGTGTATGCCATCTATGATGCACCCGAATCCTCCTCAATTCTGAAAAAATATTTTAGTTATCTCGATAAATATTTGACACATCTTATGTATATGGGCCTAAATCAAACCGAGCTAATTCGAATATTAATAACATTATCTTTAATATTATCTTTTAACGTTTTCATTTATGTGCAGCCCAATATGATTAGACCATCCATATAATTTTTATTTTTCTTATAAGATAATATATAGTTACTTATTGATTGGGGAGTTAGAAATAAAAATATAATAAAGAGTCAAAAACTACTGCCTTCGTAGAAACATCTTTCAGAATCCTCGTGACTTATATAGAACTCACACTAGTGAGATAGTATCCATCTTAATATTAGAAAAGACATCGACTCTCTCAACTTGACCCCTTGAACGACGACTATATTCAACGTCGTATTATTGGGGAGTCAGTGAAACCAAACGATGACTTCTCTCTTAAGCCTCCTTTTAGGATCCTTTTCGAAAACAAATCGTACAGGATTGATATTGGAACCGCTAATTCCTCGTGGCTTTAAGAATGAACACCAGCTTATCAGTTTTGGATGCTCACATCATAATGTCTACATTGTTTTTTGTTCGCGATTGTTGGTATATTGTGTCCATTTGATATTGAGAACAGTTCAAATTTTAAGTTTGAAAGGCACCAAAAATGTCGAGAGAACCGAAGCTAATGGATTAGCTGAAATATTTGTTTATTTAGTGCAAAGAAACAAAGATGTGAGGAAAATGATGGCAACTTCTATTTCTTCCCAAAAAAAAGAAAAAGAAAAAGGTACATTGATGTGCACTACTAAGTTGATGATTCCAATGGTGTTATTGCGCCTCGTCTCCATCAGTGCATTAGTACTATTAATGTAGATAAAGTAGGTACGCCTCCTCTTATAATGATCCTAATTCGAGAGAAAGTAGGTAGCCAAAACCAAACCTCGATGGATGTCATCCTTGATTGTGAATCTTAAAGATTATTATTTGATAGGAATGGAAACAAAATGTATGGGAAAGCATGGCTTTAATAGACTTGCATCCGATAATAGATTATCTATGTGGAACGGTTGGTATCCAAAGGGGTTCTTATTATATTACAATTTGATTCTCAAATAAAATGTGCATCCAAACGTTATATATATATATATATATATATATATATATATATATATAT